TGCGCCTTATCAAATCCAGACCTCGGGCCAGTGCACAAAGCTGAACGCTGGGGACAGGGGAAGGTTACAAACCCCAGAGAAGGGTTTGCACCCTGCTGCTTAGGTAATAAGCCGTAAGCCCTGAAGCCTAAGGATTTAGCCCTTGTCGTTTATCAGTAAGGCATAAACCCTGAAGTGAAAAACTGCAAGTCTTGGAACCCAAATGGTTGCAGAGGCTTTAAAATTTTAAATCCTGCACCCTGATTGCTAAGTGAGCAAACTGTAAACCCTGACTGATAAAGACAACCCCACAAAATAAAGTAATAATTCATTTAGAAGTGCAGCAGAACAGGAAGATGCGCATCAGAATCATGTTACAGTTGCTGTTTATAGGCTTGGCTTTAGCCACCAAACATGAGCACGTGCAAGCATTGCTCCGCAGAGCGCACTACGCTGCACTTCCACTGAACCTACCTGAAACACCGCGAGCACTAACTCATCTCCATTACAGACAACTAATATTTTTGGTCCCCTCATTTCCTTGGGCCAACATCCACAGCCAGCGACACCAGTAACCACCTAGGGGACGACCGCCTTCCACCTCTCAGCCCGGTCACATACAACGCAGCCCCAGGACTTAGCTGTATCCATGCTGCAAGTCACAGCTTGTCCTCCACAAAAAGCCATCAAATACCACCAAAGCTACATTAACACCGCTGTAAGAATTTAAGTCCTCCTGAAATTGCTTTAAGTTGGAACTGATGAGAAGGAGCCTTGATTCTGCAAAGCTTTAACCTTTCTTCCCTCTACCTGTCTTCCCGTTTTCCCAAACACAACTTCCATGTAATTAACATGGGGTTGCAACCAATTGAGCCTTCCTGAAATTCCTCTCTTAATTTTACAATTCAGACACTTGTGTCTCTCGCTTCCTCTTCGGTAACTCTGGTCACTTGACTATCATTCACCTAAGATAATAATTTGGTGTCTTGTATTTTGGGGTCTGTGGGGGTGTTAGGACAGGATTTGTGGGTGGTTTCCCGGCGTTGGGGGAGCTGGTTGCAGGAAGGTTGGGAATCTGCAGGGCCCTCAGGGCGGGGGTGCCACCCCAGATGTGTACTGAGTGCCTAGCAGTGCTGCATGTGGCTGTCAGCTTTGCAGGAGGAGCCACTGGTCTCGCCCCCCACCAGAGGGGAGGAGGAAGAGGGATCTACGAGCTCATAGGGAATGCCCGAAAAGGCGACAGGGACCTCATCAAGAGCCCCATATCCCAGAAGAGCTGTCAGACAAGAGGCATCAGGCTGCTGTGCCACTGCTGGAGACACCCACACCCCTGTGCAGCATACGCATGCCTGGGGAGATGTCAGAGGCAACGGAGGATCCATCCACACACACTGGACTGGGGAACCCCACGGCTTTGGGGCAGCTGTGCAGGAGGGCGCAGGGCTCAGTGAGGCTCAGTGGGGGTTTCAGTCAGTTGGTGCCTGCGTTGGCTGGGGCCCACAGTCTGTGCCTGCGGCTGGGGGAGGCCTCAGGGTGCCTGGGCGTATTTTTCCCCTGTCCACCTTCTCGTTTCCCTAGCTACAACTCTCAAGTAAACGTTCTCGGCGCTGCGCTAACTGCACCTGGCTCAAAGTGACCTTAAGTCGGTTTGGTCCGGTAGCTTTAATCTTCCTGGCGACTTACCAGCCCCCTCGGGGCTGACGGGACCTGCCGGGCCGCGGCCGCTGGGGCCACAGAGCGGGCGGCCACCTGCGGTGCCTCAACAGCTGCACCGAGTACTGGCGCCAAATAATGAACTGTAAACTTACAGGATGAGTTAGCCCTGCAAAGGATATTAAGACTAATAGTAAAAGATCTGTCACTTACGAAATGAGAACTTACACTGTTACACGGGTAGCATGATTGTTGTGTGGAAACAACAGTGCCCTTCGGCTACAACTCCCTTCTCTAACATAATATGGGGATTAATCAACAAGAATACTTTTCAAAAAGATGAGACTGAATATGACAGTGATGGCAAGAGGTGAATATAAGGACAGGAAGTTCCCATGACTCAGCACAAGCAAACACAAAGTTAATACATACACAATCAGAAGCAGCAGGTTCCTCCTTGTCAGGCCAAAGCTCTTTCCCAGTGATCTGAAAAAAAAATGGCCCATCAAATTTAGTTTGTGATAACAAACATTATTAACAGGTTTTTCAGGCAGTAACCAGTGTACCACTGTTTTACTCCCATGAAAAGACAATGCCGAAGGGAAGCAATACATTGTGCAAGAGTTTAGGAAAAGCAGAAATTGAATACACAAATAATTAAAGCTGAGAGCTACACACAAAAAAATTACAATTGTCCATCCAATGTAAATCACACTAAACTAGGCTTTCCTTATTAAAGCTATTAATTTCCTAGAAAAAGAAGATTTAGTAGATTCCAGCTATCTGGTCTTTTGTGCCCCATCGGTGAAGCTTGGGAAGGCGGAGGATTAATAGCACAAAAGCAAGCAAGGACTTAGCAGTAGACAGGGATGCTGAAAATGAAGTACCTGCCTGATCATGGAGTCCCTCAAGAGGTAGGCTTGGGGCAGGGGGGAGGGAAAGGTGTTTTCAATATTGTGCTGATGAGGTGTACAAAGTTAGAAGGCAAAATCAACTGAGAGTGGGATGAGGATACCCTACAGGAACGCAGTCACTGATCGTTCCATGATCTCAGCCATCAGTTAGGCAAGGAAAGCAGCTCCTCAGGTCTCTGTGCCCTTCTCCCAGAAATAATATCCTTTCACAGAAAAAGAGGCAGTTTTGACCTTCCAAGAATCCCTACCCTGAGCTATAGTATAATCTGAAACTCCATGTATCCCTGCACAGCCAGGTGGAGGTGGCTGCTCCTCACCGAGGCACAAACTCCTTTTTCTAATTCTTGTTCTCCCATACGGGGCCTGCAGGCCATAAGCAGATCTTGAGCAGCTAGTGAGCTGGCATCGTGTGCCAGCCTTGGAAGGTAAAACCTCATCCTCTTGCCATGTTGGGGCTGCCCAGGGAAGCAGCCCCTTTCAGACAAGCTTTTCTAGCTCTCCCTGAAGAGAGCTGGAACGCAGCCAAACTGGCACTTGGCCAGCGAAAGGAAAGAGGCAAGGAGCAGCACTTGTGACACTCAGAAAGGAAAAGGAGTCTGTAAGAGTGTCCTTCCTACCCTGTCTTACTCTCCATTTCTCCATTTTGAAGAGGGGGTGAGTTCAGCATGTCCCCCACTGCTGAATCTGGACCCATCTAAGTCACACTGACTAAAAAAGTAAACATTTCATCCAAACCTCTAGAAAGTGTGGTAACTAGAAAGGACCTCTTTTATGATGATTTTCCAGGCGCAAAGTGCAAGTATCACTTCTCTGGCATCCCTGCTGTAACCCAACTGATGAATTTATCCGCTGTGCTCAAGGAGTTCTCAGACAACAGTTGACTATTACAGAGCCCTTTTCATATAAACAAGAACAAAATGGCAACACATTCTGTCACAACCTTCAGCAACCAGCTTCTATAAACAACTTTATAGACCATGGTGACCACTGCCTCTGGGATGCCCTTCATCGCTCTAAGCAAACATATTTTCAAAGTAAGGATAGCGATTTATTTTTATACTTCTAAAACATCTTTGACGGACAGAAACTGCCTGTAATAATTCTGCAAAGGATATGGACTTTACCATTCCACCTATGATCCAAGAGCAGATGCATTTTTCTTTATCATTGATGTCCCATTTCTATGATTTGAGATTTGTTTTAAGGCATATGTTACCCAAATTTTAAACTATCTATTAAAAGATCTGGATTGAAAAGCAAAATTGAGACTTCAATCTGCTTTTTGTCTCTCTCATACAAGATTCCTCCAGGTTTAAGGAAATCTCTCTTTGTCTTCAACTTGCCAATGTGAATATAACACAGACAACTTAGTAACTGCATCAACCATGAAAAGAAGGCAGAGGAATACCTTAGCTTTTGTATAAGAGTTGCAGTTTTTTCCAAATCTCTACAGTAAATAGAGAAATTCAAAACTAAAAATACACAACAGAACGTGGTTTTAGTGCAATTATTCTGTGCAGGACTTTACAAATCTAATATTCCTAAGTTGTATCAGATACTTTAGGCCAAATCTTGAACATTAAACATTTACAGCAGTCAATATTTCAGAGAAAAGCAAGAACAACTAAATGCTCTTCAAGGCAAAATGAAAATATTTTTCTATAAAAACTTCATACAGCAACATAGAAAGGAGGACTACAAACACAATTCATCTCCGTTAGCAGTGCTTTCCCCATCTGTCCTTAGATATAACTGATTAAATGTGCTCTCCAGGTTTGGCTCTCTCCCTGCACATGGATGGATAGGACCCCCAGCCCCAGCCCCTAAGGTGTATTTTGGACTGTATTTTGGGTGGAGTGCAGGGTGGTTCCAAAGCCCTTCTTTCATAAAGTCTTACTATTGCCCAGGTAGCACTGGTTTTGATACAAGGCGGGCTCTCCACCAGGATGAAAAAGGAAAGATTGAATCCTTTAAAAGTGCAGTTTCAAAAGTGACTATGTTTGAGCATGTCAAGTTGCTCTTTCCATAGCTTCGCTTGAAAAATTAACACTTCTGAAAAGTTGGGCTAAATTTTCAGAATTAATTCTGGGGCTTTTCAAAAATTTATTTACAGCCAGATAAAAAGATGCATGCATGTTTCTTGCTGTTTCAGCCATTAGTAAGAAGAAGGATTATGTTTTCTACTTACTAAGCTTTCTATCATGATACTAAATGCAAGTACAACATAAGGCAATGAGACATGCTGCATAAAGACCCACCAAGAATTGTGCCAGCTAATTCCATTCCTGCATTGGCAAGTGAACATAGCAGTAGCTCTGTTAAGGAAAGCCAGTGCAGCAAAGGTCTAATTGAAACAAAGCGGGATGCAAAGTATCCTGCAGCATTGGCAGCTGCATACCAATCCCAGTGAAACTGCTGACTGCGCCTCACTAACATATCTCCATCCATTGCCTTCCTAGGCACTTATGCTATAAGGAAGCTTGGCTAACGCCCGTCTTATTTTTCACAAGTCTTTCCTGGAAGTGGTTTCAAGAGATACTGCCAAATTTCCCAAACAAAGCACTCCAGCCTGTCTTCAGACTTCCCTCCCACACAGTTCTTTAGCTTCCCTATTCTCTTAGCCTCAGCATGGAAGCCTTTTCTAAACTCACCCCACTTCATCTCCCAGTCCAAGTCCTTGATTTTCTCCCTCCCTTTCACTACCTCATTGTCACTTCATCCCCAAAAGCCCCTTCAGAAACTTTCTTTACCTTCTAACGGATCTTTTCCCTTTTCCAAATCCGAAAACTCCTTTACAGTTGTCCTTGCGTTCCCATTCACTGTTTAGATGCAGAGAAATTGGTTTTTAGTCCCCTGCAAGCCTAGCAACCAAATGAATCTCGGCTCCATTTAGTTCAGCTAAGCTCCGTCATTGTTTGGCCTGGACACGCTCTTCAACACCACAATAAAATAAGTCAAGGAGCTAGGCCACAGCCTGCAGAAACTGTTAGCTGCAGACAGTCCCAATTAACTGTCTTTGCTGAAAAGGACCACTGACAAATCCAAATAGACAGCCAGGTTCAGCTGGCACTGTTAGGGCAAAAGGTGGAGATTTATGTCACTTGTTATAATTACAGGTAGGGGATTTTAGGGACCCCCCTAAAACCCTGGGTCATTCAAGGACTGCAAAATAGCGATGTAACAGATGTTGAGGAGGCACAACATATTTAAACACTTCTGTTTTGATGTTCTAAAGATCACATGTATCATTATGGGTTTGTCACTGAATGTATTCACAGCTAACTCAACCATGTGAATGATATGTTCTAAGAACCAGAAGTCCTGCAGAGAAGTGTACAGAAAGTTGGGAAAAGCAGGTAGAGGAAAAACAGTAATTGAAAAATGTATGATTTATGCAGCTATCCAGCCTTTAAAGGTTCACCGCAAAGGGTAGCAGAGGCAGAGGGAATATCACTTTACTAGTTTGATCTGATACTGAAGGTCTGGCGAGAAAAAAAGGGCTGAGAACAACCTAAATGATGGTTTCCACGTGAGCAGGCATGTTTGCTTGCCCAGGGTCATTCTTAGTCTATTCAAGAACTGAACTGGGGATTTTTCTGTCATGCTAGATGATCTATACTGACCATCTGCAGGCTGAGAGTCCTCCTGGTTGGATGGGATAAGAGGCAGTTCATTTTACAGGAGGCTTACTCCTATAAATGGTGTGACTCTGAATAAACAGTACTTAGCTTTAGAAAAGCTGGGATGGTCAATAACCCTGTGTTGCATAGGAGAAAGCAAAACTGTAGTGGTTGCACTTAATCACTCCTGCTGTATCCCAGGACATTTCAGGAAACCGTACAGGTGGCACATATGAGTTTCTGACTCACAAAGCTCGCCAGAGATCAGCCAAAGGTCTCAGTATCAAAAAATATGCCTAAGGAGAGAAGAAAAGGGTGAGAAATGCAGTTAATCCAGAAACTGATATCAAGATCTGTCACAAATGTTACATGACCCTGAAAAAAGTTTTGCCTTCAAAACGTCCAGACTAAGACATTCCTATATTAGGGATTGTGAAGATCAGTGTTTCTGGATGGCTTCCTTATATGGTAGTCAGCACAATGTAGTAGTTCTTAAATGACTAAAATTCTCATCACTGCTGTTTTCAGTCTGGTAGTACTTTTTCAGGTAAAGACTGCCAAGTTTAACCTTAACTATATTTTGCAGAGGAGAGAATGAAAATGTATTTATAAATAATGCATATCGGAACATAACTCCAGAACAGAAAAACTTATCATCATAATGTTTTGATGTTAATTTTAGAAAACTGGCCAACTGAGTCCAAACCTAAGTTCCATAATACTGAAAATAAAACAGACCCACTCATTTCAATCAGTGGTTTAGAACAGAAATAAAAACGTCTCTTTTACTCTATAGGAGAATGTTAAGAGCATACCAGATCCTGTATGCATTCAAGTTTTTCTTCAGCCATTTTGTCCTCCCTCCTAGAGGGAGGACAACAACTAAGAACTAGACTTGCAGATAGAGGTACTGTGCTGTTATTAAACCAACTGCTACAGCTGGAAAAAGCTGGAAAAAGCTTTTGATCGCTCAGCAGCCTTCATCAGGTCTGTAATAGAAGCAGAAGACCTAAATACAATTAGCAGAGCTAAATACAACTAGAGAACAATTGCTCAGTGTTTAGGTGCACAGCAGTTAGACTGTCTTTGACAGACAAGGTAGCTGAGAGCTTTGAAGTAAAAGAGAAGTTAGTAAGGGGATAAGAGGAGATAACGTTAGGGAAGAGAAATAGGCAGTTTGTTGCCTATGGAGCACAGAGAGACTAACGAGCAGGAATATTATACTGTGCCATAAAATCAATAATGCTATTGAGTCCCTGGTTTTACTTTCAGAGTAAAGAGGGGCTGCGTGTCCAAAAGCTTGCCTACTTTCTCCTACTAAATCAACAGATCTAATAAAAGATCTCTACCTAAACATCCTGTTTTCTTATGTCCCAAGACCATCATGGCACTGACAACACTACTATGGACCTGGAAGACGTCATGCACCTCAACCTTATTTGGATAGCTGTCAGAGATGCTGAGACACCTGTTCTATGGTCCCTGGTCATGTTTCACCTTCACAGATGTCATATCTTAGACTTCCGAATCTTAAGAAGTGGAATTCTGCAGCACATCGCTTGTTATGCTGTAACCAGCCCTAAAACACTCTTCACAGCAACTATGACTAGTTCAGAAAGCCTATTCGTGCACTGAGGTCTTTGAGAGATGTGATGAGCAGTTCAAAGACAACAATTATAGTTTCCCCTATCACAGTTGTTTAGTATTAGCAGCTAGAATACTCTTTAAAACAGCTAGATTAAAAAGGTAAATAAGCCTACCATAATCTATAGCTTCTGCTCTTGTCCATCTCTGTTTATCATGTTTATAGTTTAATAATCGCATTCTCCAATGTGATTCTGCAGCAGATCAGAGCTCTCTGACCGATTAGCTGACATCTCTGAATCCTTTCTCCTTCCACAGATTCTCTAATTTGCTACTCCTGCTGCCGCCTCATTTCTTGGTCTTTTTTCCATTCTTACCTGGGCCAATGCACAACTTTGGTCTGTCATAAGTCTGCAAGTTCAGGCAAGAACCAATACAAAACTGAAGAGAAAACCAATGTATAAACAGTAATCATTAGGAAAACATAGCTCGCTATCTTTCTTTTACGTTACTCCAGAACACAAACTCTGTCCTTTCTAATACATGACAAAGGGGTCTCCTTAAAGATTTCCATATAGTATTTGAACCCTATCAGTGGCTCTAAATATAGCTAAAATGCTAGGAGGAAAAAGCACGTTAGTTTATGTGACGCTATGGACACTAAATGTGCCAGGGATAAAGAAGACTCTGGAACCCAAATATTTTCTACTGTCCTTTTTCAGAATTGCAATTGGCTTCATAAACAGATGTTCACTGTCCACTGTACAGTTCCCTAAATAAAACACATCTCCTCAACATACATTCCCATAAGTGATACTGTGCCAAATGGTCCTCCTGAACGTAAGCCATATCAGTGTTAAGTGCTTAATAGCTACAGGCAAACACCTATGATCTCTCAGCTGGACCATTATACCCATTAAACATTTAAAGAAAACAATTTCAATTTATGTACAACTGGGGTGAGTTTTTTTTTTTTAAATCAAGAATCATGACACAAATTATTCTGTACTAAAAGCTATAGAATATACATTTAGATGAAAAATAATCGCTGTGAATCCCTACCCACAAAATTGTTATGCCTCCTGTAGGAGAGAACACAGTAGTAAAAATCAGAAACTTAGTAGCAGTCATCTAAAACGTTTAGAATAGCCCTTGTAATTAGAGGTTATTAGAAGGACATACAATATCCCGCAAATAACAGAAAAGATGCCTTAAACCTTTCCTGAAACACTGAAAAAAAGTCACTTTAAGCAGGGCTTCTCCAAAAGATACCTGGTAATACCTAATGGGAAAGGCCCTGTAGCCTGCACTTAGCATTGACAAAATGTTAAAAATAACCCTTCATAAGAAGTTATTACGATCAGGAGTACTGCAGGATTTCTAAATGTTGTACATATTTATAAAAATTAAAATACAGCCACAAAAATAGTACTTTCTGATGGAGAGACAGTGGAAGACACTGGGACGCTGTGTCAAAAGCCTTTCTAAAGGTAGCCAAAGTAGCCAATACGCACTGCTCTCTCCTCATCTGTCAGCCAGTCCTTAATCCGGTCTTGTGGCCTCCCACCTCAGAATTATCACCAAAAGGGAGGAGACAGAGATGGGGTGGAGGGTAGGTTAGGGGGAAAACACACGCACGCAGATATAGTTTAGCCTCTTTGGCTAAGGAAACGGGGCTTGTGAAATCATTTGTATACGTTTCTATGTCCCCCAACAACATTTACACCTTTTCCTTAGCTTAACAGAGGTCTCCTCAGAGTTGTTACTTTTTCACAGTTTTGTAAAAACAGACGAGAGAAGTAGCTATTCACGTCTCCAGGGAGAAAGACGGCTACAGCATCAGTCCGCTTCTCAGTAGATGCCAGGTTAGTCACGTAACCAGGAGAAAAGCTTCCACTGCATCTTGCATGACAGATCAAACCAAAAGACGATATAAAATCAAAAGGAACCGAGACGTGCTTGCTTCATTGCTTCTAGGAGTGCTTATTTTACCATCGGCTAGCTAAGAAACGTTAAGAATCCCTTAATCCGCAGCACATGGGCTCCCGGCCATTTGCTACGCAAGGTACACCAAGCAAACGCAAGGCCTCCGAGGCAGCTGAGCGTTTTGGAAGAAAACCGTAACATTTATGGAAGAGAGAGAATTTTTGGAAGGAAACGAGGACAAAACCGTGACCGGCTCTGAGGTAGGTAAGGCGACCCCTCCTAATTAGGAAATAACGGGGAGGTCTAAACAAGCTGGAGTGATACTGTAATTGTTCAGCTAGAAACTATTCAACGAGAAATTACTATTCAGCTAGAAATTACCCGACTAGAAGCACCGAAGCCTTTTCAGCCCTCTTAGCAGGTACAGCGCACTGAAATCCTAGCCCCAGAAACCGTCGCGGCAAGCTTAAAACTTCTGTGCCGCCACAGGAAGGTCTCAAACAACAGGTGTCCAGTGAGGTCAAGGCGCGAGGGCCCCGGGCGGCAGGGGGCGACGGCCACCGCTCCGCTGCCACGGCAGTTTGTGAC